CAACTGGAGAATTGGTCTGAAGTCAACAAGATGAAATTCAATGAAGACAAGTGCAAAGTACTTCACTTAGGAAGGAAAAATCAAATGCACAACTACAAAATGGGGTCTAGGGTAGCAGTGCTGATGAACAGGATCTGGGGGCTGCAGTGGACCACAAACTGAATATGAGTCATCAATGTGCTGCAGCTGGAAAAAGGCTAATGTGATTGTGAAGGAATCAACAGGAGTGTTGGATGTAAGACACAGGAGCTAATGGTCAGCCTCTACTCAGCATTGGTGAGGCCCCAGCTGAAGTACCGTGTTCAGTTCTGGACCTCACAATTTAGGAAGGATGTGGACAAATTAGAAAGAGTCCAGAAGACAGCAACAAAAATGATAAAAGGTTTAGAAAACCTGACCAGTGGGGAAAGACTGACATGTTTAGTCTTGAGTAAAGAAGACTGGGGGGAGGAGAGGGAGCTGATAACAGTCTTCCAATATCTTAAGGGTTGTTATAAAGATGAGGGTGATCAATTGTTCTCCATGTCCACTGAAGACAGGACAAAAAGTAATGGGCTTAATCTGCAGCAAGGGAGATTTAGGTTAGATATTAGGAAAATGTTTCTTACTTTAAGGGTAGTTAAAATCTGAAATAGGCTTCCAAGGGAGACCCCCGTTATAGGAAGTATTTTAAAAAAAGTTGGACAAACACCTGTCAGGGATGGTCTAGATCTACTTGGTCCTGCCACAGCACAGAGGGCTGAACTTGATGATTTCTCAAGTCCCTTCCAGCCCAACATTTCTATGATTCTAATTTTTAACACAAATTTAACTCCAATCTACAATACACATTTATAAACTTGTTCAACACATTTAGTGCTATTTCCTTAATTTAAAGCTTGCTCCTGCTGTCATTGAAGTCAATGGCTGTTTTACAATTGATTTCAGAGGAAACATGGCACTGGGCATTATGTTCTTCTTTATGGAGATGTTTTTCTGCTTCTTCTTTTTAAAAAAAGATTATTTTAAAATGTCATCTTCTCAAAAACTAACTGCCCAGTGTCTTTGATGCTCATTGGAAATCCACCATAGGTCAGGAAATCATCTGCTGGACAGAAATGAGTTTAAAGCTCTGGGATGGTAAATAAATATGGTCAGTTAAAGATGAGTCATGACTTCATGATGTTGACTATCACAATCAGGCAAAGCAGAGAGAAGCTCATACTTTATTTCAGTATGAGTACGTTTCTGAAGGGAAAGTAGAATTCAGACATCACATCCTTTAACCCTCCCACAATAAGGCATGACTTAAAGAGGCCATGTCTCCTTGAACATGGGACAATTCAAACAACACTCTTTGACAAGGAATGGTTTGCAAAAACATAATCACAGAACTGTATTCCAGTGTTCTGGAGGTTTGATGGCTTCTACTCCCCACTCCTGAATACTGTGTACCAATCTAGGGCATTTCAGAAGCTGAAAGATGTTAACAAATTACTAAAATAACTGTTTCAGAGTAAAATAACTGTGCCTCACAATGAAAAAAAAGCTAATAATCTAAATAAAGTCAGGTACAATGTCTCCAGCTCACAGAAGAGATTTAACACAGACAATAAAATATCAGTAATAGCAGATATGGGTCTCAGATGCTTATAAACGTTCCATACCTTTGTCCCTGGTGTTCTTAGGTCTCTGTTTCTTCTGTGCTCAGAAGGAGTGTGACATTTCAAGTCTACATAGGATACTGCCTTCTCTCTCATTTCTGGTGCATTCTGGGCTAGAAAGGTTGGATTCAGTAGACTGAGATGAACAATAGGATCTGATAGAAACTGATACTTGTACTAAGGAACCACAACAGCAATCATCATGATCTAATAGCAGAATAACTGGGGGTTTTGGAAGAACAAAGCCTCTCTCCCATTGCACTTGGAATATGGCACATAGTTCTGAGTCCAGAATTGTCACAAGGGGTAGGAGGTCCTCTTTCACACTGGCTGGTTAAGGGAGGGAAGCCTCTGGGGATTAGGATCACTGTTTTCTGTTGCATTATTTTCTCATTTTTATTTGATCCCTTTCATATGTTTATGGCATGATTCTTTCTAGTGCTTTATCCAGTCTAATTTTAAATGGTTTTTGGTGGATTTCCACCACTTGCCTTGGGAAACTTCCTTTTGTTTTAATTCCCTCCATTTACACCAAGTTCTACGAACTCACACTACCCTAAACAACCAATTTTCCTCTTTGATGCTGATACACTTTCAATATTTCTAGACAATCATCATTCATCCCCTTTTAGCCATGGTTTGCAAATTCATTATATATGTTTAGTTCTTCAGGTTTTCTTTCTAAATCACTCCCTTCATCCCCTTTAATAAAGCAAATGTCTTCTTTTCTTCCAAACTGCCCACCACTTCCTGCTATTTTTTTAAAGTTGTGTTTATCTAAATCTTTGAGTCAGGGACCATGACCAAAATGTTCAAAAATGTGTGCTAAAATTTAGGCTTCTAAGTCAATGCGACGGCGCCTATTTATGCAGTCTGGTTTTCAAAAGTGCTGAGTATCCAGCAGCAACTACAGACTTCAGAGGTGCTGATAGGTGCTCAATGTTTTGAACATAAATCAGTTTTTAGTTGTATAGATATGAATTTAAGAGGCCAATTTTAGGCACCTGTCAAGGCTGAATCCCCACCCTGGCACTTTGAGTGCAGAAGGTGGGGGCCCACAAGGATTCTAAATAATAATACTGGCCACTCCAGGCTCGTATTAAACTGCCAAGGTTACAGCCTTTATCTGACCTTGGCTTGGTAAACGCTGCCACCACCCAAATGCAAAAGTCCCCCTTGAACCCAGGAAGGAGCACTTGGGAATTCCTCCCTGTGGTGTACTCTCAAGACCTTTAAGATAGCCCCCACCCAGAAAGAAAACAAAGGAAATTAGCTGTTGTCACCAGCTAATCAAACAGCATATGCACAAACCTCTTAAAACATCAAAAATCCAATCCTGTTCTTAAAAAAGGTAAATTTTATTAAAAACAAAAAAGAAGAAAATACATCTGGAATGTAGGCTTTTGCTAGACTTTAGAAGAGCAATTCCAAAAAATTAAGCACCCAAAATAGCTTTCTTGGGGGTTCAGCTTAACGGTTATAAGCAAACAAAAGCATCTGGGGTTAGCACAGAGGAGTCTACAAGCCTTAAAAAATAAACAGAAATAAACCTAGTCGTGTCTTCCTAAACATACTCTGTCCAATGATTTTTTGTAGGTATGGAAGATGAATTTTTATACCTGGTTTAAGCCTTACACAGCATTCCTGCTTATAGCATTGCTGCTCGGTGTCTCCTTCTCCAGAGAACAACAGACAAAGGAAAGTTTTTTTTCTCCATTTTAAAAAGTTCTACCTTCCCATTGGCTCTTTTAGTCAGATGCCCACTCCTTTTTTTTTTAACCTCTGGGCTTGTTAACTCTTTACAGGTAAAGCAAGTAAAGAACAGACTAAGGGGGATTTTACAGCTAACTGGTGGCTGGGTGTCCATCAAAGGGAGCTATTCCCCCCACCTTCATGTATCACAGCACCCATTTTTGAAAACCTTGGCCCATCTCCCCTCTGTTATATAAGTTAACTACACAGTAGATGTCCAACAAATAAATAATAAAATCCTAATAATTAATCAAAATTGAAATGCACAGAACTGAATTCTAGGCATGCTTTCATCAGAGCCATAGAAAGAGAGATGGTCCTGTAGCAAGATGCACCTTCCTATGCACAAAATTTTATGTTTTTTGTTAACATACTGCATTGCAATAATATATCCAATCTGCTATCCACTATCAGGGCAAGTCTACACTACAGTGCTACATCGGCACAGGTGCCCTGATGCAGCCGAGCCGCTGCACCGTGTCTGGTGAAGATGCACTACACCGACGGAAGAGCGCTCTCCCATTGTCATAATTACTCCATCTCAGCAAGAAATTAAGCTATGTCGGTGGGAGAGCATTTCTCACCGACATAGCACCGGTGTGGACTGTGCGAAACATACATTGCTCAGGTGGGGGAGAGGGGGCTTATTCATACCCCTGAGTGACATAAGTTAGATCAACTTAGATGTAATGTAGACCTGCCCTCAGCCCTAGGTTACCTTCTTTATTACTGCTTTCCATTTCTCCCTACCATTAAATAGCCATGTTATTACAACAGATGTAATAGTTTTAATTTTATTTTCAGATCAGTTTGCTAAACTTTCCAGACTGCTTTGGGTTTCGTATCTGGTCTTGTTTGTGTTTGTAACACCCCTCCATTTAGCATAGGGGTAAGCAAACTACAGCCCGAGGGCCACATCCGCCCCGCCAGCTGATTTAATCTGGCCCCTGACTTCTCGCTGGGGAGCGGGGTTGGGGGCCGCTCCGTGCATGTGTGCAGCAGCTCCGCGCGACTCCCGGAAGCAGCAGCATGTCCCCCCTCCGACTCCTATGCGTAGGAGCAGCCCAGGGCTCTGCATGCTTCCCACCCCAAACGCCAGCTCTGTAGCTCCAATTGGCCAGGAACTGCAGACAATGGGAGCTGCAGGGGCATTGCTTGCGGATGGGGCAGCGTGCAGACTAGAGCTATCTGGCCACACCTTTGCATAGGAACTGGAAGGGGGACATGCCGCTTCTTCCGGGAGCTGCTTGAGCTAAGTGATGCCCGGAGCCTGCACCTCTGAGCCCCTTCCACGCTCCAACCCCCTGCTCCAGCCCTGATCCCCCTCCTGCCCTCTGAACCCTTCAATCCTAGCCTGGAGCACCCTCCTGCACTCCAAACTCCTCATCCCCAGCCACACCCCAGAGCCCGCACCTCCAGCTGGAGCTCTCACTCTCTCCTCCCTGCATCCCAACCCCCTGCCTCAGCCCAGAGTCCCCTCCCGCACCCTGAACTCCTCATTTCTGGCCCCACCCCAAGCCTGCACCCTCAGACAGAGCGCTCACCCCCTCCTGCACCCCAACCCCAATTTCGTGAGCATTCATGGCCCGCCATACAATTTCCATACCCAGCTGTGGCCCTTGGGCCAAAAAGTTTGCCATCCCTTGAATTAGCATCATCTGAGAATTGAATGATGTAAACTTACAATATATTAACAGTCTAGTCACTGCAGTTTCCAGCCTATTTATGAAGATACTAAATAACAAAGATCCTAACACTAAACTCTGCCCTTTCCTATTTATCATTACCCTTGGTTCACAGTACTTCAACCATTTTTTTGTTCAGTGATAATGTTTTTATCCAAGACTATTTGAATTAATTACCCAAGTAAGATTTCTTGAGAAACTGTTAAATTTCTCACTAACACCAGGATATTCACTCATTTTTTGAATTATACAAAAGCAATCACCTATACCTTTTGTAACAACTATGTACCCTACCAATTAAAGCCCCAGAAAAATATGGAACTCATACATTTGTAGCTTTTTGATAGGAGACTGGAGGGCAGGAACTAGACCTTTAAGTGTCAGAAATGTTTTTGTCCTTCTTGAAAATCCCTTGGGGATGGAGAGAGAGAGAGTCCAGTGTCACCCTGTCACTGCCTTGTAAGGAGATGGACAACAGGAGCTGAGAGGGGAAGAATTATTCACTGTGCAATGCTCCATCTGAAACCGCACTGGAAATTCTCACTCTGGTAGTTTGAAGTGCGCTGCACCCGCACTCACAGGAACTTCTCTCTTTGTAGCTTTACGCAAGGCCTAAGGTGTTAAATTTAACTTGTTTGAGGTCAGTTAAATATTGAATTTATTAAACAAGGTTGTTTAAGAAACTATTGATCAGCTAGTGTCTCTGCACTTCTTAAAACATGGGGCGAGATTCTTCTGTATTTTACACTGGTATAAACTGGTGTAAACCCAGTGTAACTTCATTGAAGTTAATACATTCACTCCCTATTCATAGTGATATAAACAAGATCAGAGTCTAGCCCATGGTCTCTGTGTTCATTCCCGACTTGCCTTACTAGGGAGGCAAATGTAACCAAATGGAGACCTGAGTGCACTTCCTGGCTCAACTCTGGATCTGCTCACTACAGCCAAGTCACTTTACCTCTCTGGAACCTGGAGTGCAATGAAGTGGCTTGGGTACAAGAAAAAACAATCCCCAATCTTTGAGTGAATCATAACCAAACATATACATAGGTTTTGAACAGGGAAATAAATATTCACTTAACAGTGTTCTGGCTGAAATCACACAGGAATTTCTCATACTCAAGTTGCTAATTTGAGAAGGGCTGCCACCAGCTAGAATGGTCAGAACTTGAAACACATACTTTTAACAAAGTTTCCCTATTTATACCTAATTTCCCTTTTCCAGAGTAGATGCAGACATCAACCAGTGATCTTACGCTAGACTCAGGTGGTCTGCATAGCTTGTATTTTCAAAACACAATCTCTGCCCATACAGAGCTTAGAAAATTTTACAGGAAAAAATAAACTGGTCAACACTGAGCTCACAGTCACCTTGTGCAGCCTTTCTCAAATTAGCAACACACAGTTGGGTCTCAGAACTGCAACGCAATAATATCTGACATTGACTAACGGGAAGACAGAGAGTAATAGGAGTAAACAAATTATCTAATTGGCTGGCAGAGATGTGAAGCTCCTACCCCTTTCCATGTCCCTTCCAGCGAACCTCCATACATCCAAACACACATGTACTCAATGACAAAAATTGCCCAAATGTGGTTGACAGCAGACATGTGAAAAAGCTAGAAAATTCAGTACCTCCATTTTTGCAATTATAAGTGAGGAAAAGACTGTTACAAACATTTGACATTATATATAGTTATACAGCGAAGAATTTGATAACTGCAGTACTGTATAAAAATAGCAACAGACAGCTCAGCAAAGCCAAGAATCAGCAATTCTTTCCAAGTTTCTCTTTCAGTCTGGGATGTTTCCAGATATGAATCTCAGAGTTTCTATGTTTTTCCTCGTAACAGTGCAAGGGACTTCAACTCAATTACCTCCTTCTCACAGGCACACCTACGGGTGGTTGTACAAACACTGGAGCGTATTTCAGAAAGAGAGAAAGCTGCACATTCTTCATGGTAATTTTTCTGTACTAAAGAGCTGGGATGGAAAGACACACATTACTGTCAGTCATACCAATGACATGGCAAAATCATAAGTAGCTATTAACAGTGGGTCATTCTGGTGGGCAGGAGAGTTGTTAAAAAATTATATTCATTGGTGGTTATGAAAGTGGGGAATACGACATCTGGTGAGAATCATGTGGGGGGGGGCAGAGCTTTAGTTTGTGTAAATTGTCATATTTCCACAGAAGTCAATGAAATGATGACAATTTGCATGAGCTGAGCATCTGCCCCATAGTGTGCGGAGCTACCAGTGCACCTGAAACTTGACCTGCTGCACCATTTTCTATTCCTGTTCTAGGATCGCAAAGAGCTCTACCAGGGCACCTCAGTACTCACTACAGAACTGAATAAGGCCGGTTGAATTTTTTTTCCCATCAAAGTTGTTTTTCAATGGTTTTTGTTTAAACATTTTTGTTTGTTTGTTTGCAAAACTCAACTGCTTTCTGCCAAAAACTTCTATCTTTCATTCAAAGAATGAAAGCCACACCCCCAAATTGTTACTCATCTAATTAGCTGTGAAAAACTGAAATTTTCTTCAGGAAAAAACATCATTCAGGTCTACTCCTAATTGATGGCTAATTGTGCACTGATTTTCAGATGTAGAGAAGTGGGGGTGAGCATGGCAGGTCACGAAACTCACATTTATTCATGAAAAGTCAAAATAAGTATCAGGAGGAGATGGGCTCTGAAGAAAGAGATTCTGTTTCATGCAAATACCTTTTACTAATAAAGAATGAAGAAATACAGAAATACAGAAACTAGAATGAAGTAGCAGAAGTCTATCTAAGTAGGTTTTCCATGTGTCTGTTTACTAAGATTAGGATTTTCTAAGGAAGTTAGGTGCCCATACACTGCTGAAATTCATGGGATTTGGAAATGTAACTCCTTTGAAAAATACAGACTAAGAAATCTGTTTTTTTCTGGATTTCAGGTTATATTACAAAAGACTCAACTCCACCCCACCCTACTGTCCTTTGCTGCCTATGGCACTGACTTGGAAGCAAGGAGATTACTAAACAAAGATCCTAACCCACATAGTCACACACATTACTGAGTTCAGTCCATTGGAACCTCTTTCTCCCATTTGTTTCATGCCAGCTTTATATAAATGTACAGGGAACTGAACAGGTTCACACTGTGGCTTACACATCAATGGAGAGAGCTGTGCTGTCCTCCCATAGCCAGGGCCCATCTGCTCCATTACGGGATAATCCAATCCAGTAAGAGGAATAATTCAGTTTTTTTAGGGAGACCTGGAGGAAAAAAAACGCAAAAGAAAGAAAAGGAAAAGATAAAAACAATCCATGTTTCATCCTCCTTCTCTGTCCTTTCCATAGCTGTACGGCTGTGAGGGAAGGGAATGTAAATCTTGTGCTGAGGCATCTACGGAGACTAGTTGTCTCATTATTATTACTATTTATTTGCAATATGGGCACAACTAGAGGACCCATTCAGGACTTGGGCTCTGTTATGCACAGAACAAGAACAAGATCGGGATGAAAACAAATATTGAAATATCAGAATGTCCCAAGAGATCAAAATCTTGTTGTCTAAACAGCTCTGTTATGCACATTTTACTGTCGCACAACAGTAAAAAGAAAATAATTGTGGTACAGGGTCTGCGTGGAGTTATGGCAGGCTTACATTCAATATAAATGACCATCATAAATACTTTGTAACCTTTTGCTAAAACACATTAATTAAAAAAGCCAAAACAAAATGAGTGAAAACATTTGAAACTTAGAAGATATGTAAAATTTATTTGAAAAATTTGCAATTTTTTGGCTTAAAGAGATTTTTCCCAAGGTAAAATCCCTTGCTTGCTTGTTCTTTAGATGATATTAAAAGCACTTGGAACAAGAGGGGTAATTATAGGTGGTAGCTTTTTATTTTGCTGTAGTTGAAGTCCAATCCTATTTCTTCCCAAGAGAAAACAAGAAAAACTCTCAGACAGGGAGAAAGGAATGACTAGTAAAGATAAGGAGAGACATCTTCTTTCTCTCTGTGATTGCCACTTGCAGTTTAGTTCCTGGATAGATATCTCAGGAATGTCACACAGTTCGCACAACTGTATTAGCCACTTTAAGATCTGGCAAAATGTTTCCAGGATCAGGCTAACTGGTTGTTTATTGTTTGTTTGTTCTGTTTGTTTGTCACAGCAGTGATGCAAGGGTAAACAACAGAAAACATTAGGTTTACATTCCAGGTCTTACTGAGGATTTAGCCAAACCCGATGAATGTGGTAATGTCATGTTTCAGAGTTGCAAACTGTATACCATCAGATTAGGCCTGAATAAAGACTGGGAGTAGTTGCGTCATTAGAAAACCTAAACTTAATTTCCCCAATACTAATTTCTCCCTACTGTTACTCATACCTTCTTGTCAACTGTCTGTAATGGGCCACTCTCTTATCACTTCAAAAGTTATTTTTCCTTCCTTGGTATCGTACTGTTAATTGATTTATCTCGTTAGACTGACCTCAAATTTGGTAAAGCAACCCCCATCCTTTCATCGTAAGTGTGTGCACGGGGTGTGCCGGGTGCGCCCCAGCACACCCTAATGCCCTGAGCTCCGGCTGGGAAGGCTGCTCCTCTCCCCTCCCCTCCTCAGCTGTTTGCCGGGCAGGCTCAAATCAACTGCTTCCTGCCTCCCTGCTCCGGCAGGGGCCAAGTGAGTCTCAACAAAAAAAAAAAAAAAAAAGACCTTAGGGTTAGGTGTGGGCGGGAGTGCGGAGTTAGCAGCAGCAGCACAGCCAGCCCCTGCTCACCTAGGGCCACCCCACACCTCTTGGGCTGGTGGCCATGGCGTCCACATGAATGGCTGCTCCCTGCCAGCCAGGCTCCACTCCGGCCACAGCAGGCATCAGGTGACCCAAGGGAGCCCAGCTAGGCTAGGGCTGGGTGCAGTGGGAGAAGCTCCAGATACCGGCAGGAGCCATGCGGGGGTGGGGGAAGAGAAGCCCCAGACGGGGCTGGAGCCACGTTGGGGGGAGGAGAAGCCCAGACCCTGGCAGGAGCTGCACTGGTGGGGCAGAGGGGAGAAGCCTGGACCCCGGCAGTAGCTGCACGGAGGGGGAGAGAGGAGAAAGGGTCCTAGGGGGGGCAGTCAGGGGACAAGGAGCAGGGAGGCTTAGATAGGGGGAGGGGTTCTGGGGGGCAGTTAAGGGCAGGGGTCCCAGGAGGTGGTAGTCAGGGGACAAGGAGCAGGGGGGTTGGGAGTTCTGAGGGGGGCAGTCAGGGGGCGAGAAGTAGGAGGGAGCGGATGGGGACAGGATGGGGGTGGAGCTAGGGCAGGGCAGGGTGGGGCTCCCTGGGTGCACACCCTAATGAAATTGGCTGTGCACGCCTATGCCTTTCATGTATGTATACCTGCTCCTGTATTTTTCACTTCGTGCATCTGATGAAGTGGGTTCTAGCTCACGAAAGCTTAGGCCCAAATAAATTTGTTAGTTTCTAAGGTGCCACAAGGATTCCTCATTTTTTTTTTTTGTGATGTCATGTGTTTGCCTTTTCTCCCCATTCTGGTCAGGACTTCTTGTAGATTCATGATATTAATGTAATGTTAAAGTTAGGAGTGTATTTTAATATTCCTGAGGATTGGAAGGAGAATAATAATAATAATTTATTATTAATTATTATTATTATTTCTTGCCACTTCCCTTATTTGGAGTCAGTGACTTTTATAGCCTTCTTCCAAAACTCATGATTGTATGCTTAATTTGTTGTGCAAATTGGTTTCTCTAAGGTCCGCTGATATCTGGTCCAGGTACTGAGTCTTTTGTCTCTCCCTTGGTTGTCTTCCATTCACAATCATTGCAAAAGCCATCCTACCAATATAACTCTCAGGTCTCTGCTGGATATGTCTATATCAACAGAGCCTTGCCTCTCTCAACTTGTCTTCAATTGGGGCAACCCACATTACGTCCTCACAACCTTATTTTGTCTCCTATCATGGAGTGTGCAACTATTTGATCATCTAACATGTTCAATTCTATGGTGGAGAGCATACTGATTTCCTTTCTTGTGGTTGGTCAGGTATCTGTTTTGTACATTAGAATGGGTTAATTACACTTATATACACTCTATCTTCTAACTTTATTGGCATCTTTTTGCCACAGAGAACTGGGGTCAGCAACCAGCATTTGTAACAAGCAGCTTTGATACGATGCTGGGCATCACTCAGGATAGCACCAATGTCAGCAAACATTGATCCCAGGTATTTAAATTCTTTCACTCTTCTGAACTCTCTGCCTGTGATATCCTTTCTAGTGGTCCTCCTCCCTCAGTTATCAAAGCCTCAGTCTTACCAGCATTCACTCTAAATCCCACCCGCTCAAAACTGTGTTGTCACTGTTCACTGTTACACACTGGTAAAGGCCAATGTATCCTGGAAATTCTTTGCTGTAGCCCCATTTAGTTTGGGCTATGGTATTCACGCGTAGATAAGACAGCCATAGCCTTCTGGCAGACCTCTTTATCACAAACTTCACCAAACTAATTCTCTTGGAACACAATCATATGCCTTCTCCAAGTCCACAAAGACAATACCCAGATGCTGTCTTTTTTCCTCTGTACTTCTCCATGAGGTTTTGTAGAGGAAATATGGCATCAATTATACTCCATAAATCAATAGTCACCCTTTCAAATTTCAACTCTTCCATGCAGACCATTTTCAATAATTCCTCCCATAGTTTCATAGCATATAAAGTCAGTTTAATTAGGTGATAATTAGCACATAGTGTAATATTTCCTGTACATTTAAAAATGGGAACCAGAAAGCTTTAACACCATGCATTCAGCATTTTCTCTTTCTTAAGAATATCATTAAACAGACTTGTAAAATACTTTACACTTTCCTTTCCCAATGTCTTCAACATATCCATATGTACTTCATATGGCCCAGGTCCTTTCTCTCCTTTTTTACTTCCCTAAGTGCATCAACAAACTCTTCCTCCTGCTACTCTGAAATCTATCAGCTTTCATTTTCTTAATTCCTCCCTTGAGTTCTCCTCATTCATCACTGTCTCAAAATAATCACTCCAGACTATATTGATTGATTGCCTATTTATTTGGAATATAAGCAAACTCATTCACATTCCTCATCTTTTCTCTATTGTCTTAGTGAGTTTGTAGATGGTCTTTTCTCCCTCACATCCTCCTCACTGGCCACATTTTTAGCTGTCACAACGCTTCTTTTAGCCTTCTTTTTTTTTGCCTCCATACACACCATCTTATCAATGCTCAACCCACTGGCCTGCCATTTTTTAAGGGTTACCTTTTCCTCCTCAACTGATTCTTTAACTTGAGGATTCCACATCCACATTTCCCTTTTTACCCTTTTGGCACTAGTTTCGTCACTCCTAGGACTTCATGTACTGTTTCAGCAACATTAACTTTACTTTGTACCAGTTATCCTCCAGCCATTCTTCTATATAGTCAGGAAGACTACATATTACTTCTTGCTTAAAGATATTTCCGAGGTCTCTGCATTCTAAAGTCTATAAGAGGAAGTCTGTGCTGGTTCACAATGCATTCACTGGGTTTTATCTTACACTTGATTATTTATCTATCACTTCTTGATAAAAAGAAATCAATTTAGGACTTGTGTCCTCCACTGGTATAAGTTATGAGGTGGCTTTCCCTCTTTTGAAAGTGTGTGTCTGCAATCACTACATCTCATCCCAGTATTTGTTTCCCCTTCAGAGTTTCTGGTTGCAATGCCGTGCCGCCCGTGGACTGTTTCATATACAGCCTTTGTAGTTCCAACATGTGCATTTAGACCTGCTCTGACAATTATCTCCTCATTAGGTGGTATGTTTTCAATAAGGCAAAACTCCTCTTTTACCTTTTGATCATCTCCTAACTGTGGTGCATACCCACTTACTATATGGACAGTTACCTCTTCCCAATAATTTAACACTCATCAGTTAGTCTGACCTTCTGGTAACCTCTATCATGAGCCTCTGCATGGTTTAAACCAGAATTGTTTCAAATCATTCTGGTAGTTTTTTCCCCATAAACATTTGTGTACTATACCCAAGTAAATTATAACTAGTATCCTGACAAACCTGCATGTGTAATTTGGGATATATAAGAGGTTATATAAAAAGTAAAATAGACTCTACCAGCTCCTCCTTGCTGTCTATCTTCAGCAGTCTGGAGCCCAGGGAAGAGCAATACTCTTTACATTCAAACCAAGTTTTTATTTTAGTAGAGAAGTAGTAACAGTCCTCTCCATTTTGCATCCATTCGTCCTTTGAACAGATTCTGCATTTGTTTCCTTCAAAAGAAAACAAATAGATTGGTCAGATTTCTGTGTTCCTGTATGTAATGAAATTGAAGATTGGCATCTTCTGACTAACAAATCATTCCGAAACCTACAGGGACCATTACTGGCTGCTGACACTCCACTGTCTGATTGCACAGTGTGCAGAGTCATTTTGCTGCTGACGAGCTCATTTCCCTTTCAACCATAAAGACCTTTTTTTTTTAACTTGTTTTGTTTTGTGGTACTGTAAATGTGAAGGAGGAAAGAGGATGACAGTCCGTGTTGCATGGCTCAGATCTTTGTCAATTCCTAGTTTAAATCTATACTAGAATCCATGCAAATATGTCCGGCACAGCAAGTACAAGGTAACTGAATCAATAGAAAGTATCTAGTGGCATAAAATGTCATGCAGGTAACAGAGAGCCCTGACTGGTTGTGTGCTGCCCTCTAAGAGGATTCTGTTTACATCCAAGCACATGGTACAGGGCAAGGGAATTCTATTCAGTTTATTTTGCCAAATCTCATTGAAAACCCCATGTCATGTCATAGCGCCTGAAAATGAAACACTGTGGGTAGATGATATTGTGGGCTATTACCAATTATTGTGACTGACATTCATAAAGCAATTTCCATACAAAGGACCAAAAGTGTTCCACAATATGCATATTAGGAGATTGCTTAAAGAAACACTGAAATACACAAATTGGTAAACTGTGTAGTCCCACTGCCTTCAATGAGCACTGGATTGGGCACCAGTTCCCTAATAACACACACCCTATCATGGCTATAACAGTGAACATAAAATTACTTGCACCAAACTCATTTTCCTTATGACTATAAATCCAGTATTTAAATTGTGGTTTCTGGACATGAACAGCTGGGGTATTAATTCCACTTATGCCCCTCAGTTTCCTTGTTCATTTGGCAACAGATAGCACAGAACTAGGGCCTGGTTTATGGAAGTGCTGAGCACACACACTCCCATTCATTTCAATGTTCATTTGGGTGCTCAGCCCATCTGAATATAAGCCTCAATTACCATGCCAATTGCTTCTACATTGCATTGAATCCTCCTATTCAGAGGTGGATTAATAATAGTCATCGCATAATGTATTCAACACATTTTGAAATATTTAAAAAAAAATTGCCCCTATCCCCTGTCTTCACTTGTAATGTATTTTAAGTGGTTTGTGAGTTGTTAGGCTGTATCTTTGCAGAACAGGGCAAAAGGAGCACTTGGATAGACAGTTGCTAATATGGACAAGGATAAAAGGGTTCTACTGTAATTAAACTAATTAAATGAGGTGTAAAAAACATCAAAATGAATGGCTATATAGCTCTTTGTTTAGAAAGCATATTCATCTGGGACCTGACTCAAAGCGTATTGAAATAATTGAAAAGATTTCAGTGGACTTTATCAGACACATAGATGAATACAATTAGTTGGGGAAGAATCAACATGGCTTTTGTAAAGGCAAATCATGCCTCACCAATCTACTAGAATTCTTTGAGGAGGTCAACAAACACCTGGACAAGGGTGATCCAGTGGGTATAGTGTACTTGTACTTTCAGAAAGCCCTGACAAAATCCTTCACCAAAGGCTCTTAAGCAAAGTAAGCAGTCATGGGATAAGAGGGAATGTCCTCTCATGGGTAAATAACTGGTTACAAGACAAGAAACAAAGGGTATGAATAAATGGCCAATTTTAAGAATGGAGAGAGGTAAATATGATGTCCCCCAGGGGTCTGTACTGGGACCAGTGCTGGTCAACATATTCATAAATGATCTGGAAAAAGTGGTTAACAGTGAGGTGGCAAAATTTACACACAATACAAAATTACTCAGACCAAACAGACTGTGAGGAGTTACAAAGAGATCTCACAAAACTGTGTGACTGAGCAACAAAATAGCGGATGAAATTCAGCATTGATAAATGCAAAGTAATGCATATTGGAAAACATAATCCCAATTATACATAGAAAATCTATTACTTGCGTCTGATGAAGTGGGGCATTCACCCACGAAAGCTTATGCTCCAATACTTCTGTTAGTCTTAAAGGTGCCACAGGACCCTCTGTTGCTTTTTATAGAAAATGATAGGCTCTAATTTAGCTGTAATCACTCAAAAAAGAGATCTTGGAGTCACTGTGGATAGTTCTCTGAAAACATCTGCTCAATGTACAGTGGCAGTCACAAAAGATAACAGAATGTTAGGAACCATTAGGAAAGGGATATTTAACAGGACAGTAAATATCATAATGCCACTATATAAATCCATCTAGGTAGGTCCATCAATTGCTATTAATCAAGTTTGTCAAGGATGCAACTCCATCCTCTGGGTGTCCCTAACCTCTGACTGCCAGAAGCTGGGAGTGGACAACAGGGGATGGAGCACTCAATAATTGCCCTCTTTTGTTCATTCCCTCAGAAGCACCTAACATTGGCAACTGTCAGAAGACAAATTACTGGGCTAGATGGACCATTGATCTGATCCATTATGGCCATTCTTATATTCTTATGACTCAGGGTCTGGCTCCAGGTGTATAATAAGTGTAGGGAATTATGCCCACAGTTTATTTCAGTCTGAAGTCACATACAAGGAACACACAGTAGTTGCCATTAGAAGGCCATAGACTGGTACCTTTTGACTGTAAGGACTGCAAAGACTTAGAAAGCTCTGCATTCTTGGCCTGGAGATCTTCCTTTTCCTGAGAGGTTTTCTCCTGAATTTCTTGTAGCTTCTGGGTGAGGTTTTCCAGAATTTCCTGCTGGTGAGTGAGATTTTCCAGAATTTCCTGCTGCTGGGTGAACTTTTCCTGCCATCTGTTTGCTTGATGGGAAATGAAAACAGTTAAATTCACAATAGTACTACACCAAAAAGTGACTTTCAAAACGAAACTATGGTTTACAATATACAGGCACAATTTTAAAAATTCCTTTAAATGTTGCATAGAGCCAGGGCTGGTACAAGACAGCTGTGAAGCTATGGGTGTGGCACAGGGACCACTTGGTGCCAACCAGCAGAGGGCACAGGGTTGAATACACTTTTACAGGGATTCCCTGGGTTAGACATCTGCATAACTATTAATCAAAGGGTGACATGTGAGGTCTCTACGAAGAGCCAGTAGCCCACTGGTCATCATGATCATTGCAAAATATATGTATAGATGATATTTAAGACATTATGTAGCTACATTGATAATTATGTTGTTAAGGTCTTGGAGTTACGGCAGCTCACCAGGAGGCAACATACCTTAGAAATGTTCCTTTCAGGGAGGAAGTAATAGACATCTATCTCCCTGTCTGGTCATTTGTGTATTGCAAACCTCACAATGGATGCCTATTTACATATTGAGAGACTGTGAAATCTACAAGAGAAAATCTACAGGAAGACAAACAGCAGTGGGGTATCCGGTTCATGAATAAAACCAAAAGATTGTTCTGCTAAATCTTGGTGGGCAAGGGGATGCACTGAATCCTTCGCTCAGGAGGCAATTTGGCAGTGTGCTTGTCTCATGAAAGGAGGGTCACTGCCAGCCTCGCTACAAGGATTTTGGGTGAGCAATATTCTACAAGTCTTGAGAATAGCATGTCAATAAAGTCTAGGCATTTGAAAGTGTGTTATGATTGTTATTTTATATGTAACCATTTGTTTCCAGTATTTCTACTTGCTACAACTTGAATCTTTGTGCTTTGTTAAATACTTTTATTTGATTTCACTATACACATATCTAAATTCTGCGTGCTAAGCAGAGCAGTGATCTGAGGAGAAACTGGTGAGCTGGGGTGCACTGCTTCTTTGGAAGCAACAAATCAGTGAACACTGAGTGCCCAGTGGACCAGGGGCTGGACACTCCAGAGAGACACTTTGAGGGTTTGAGGGTACCTACTGCTAACCTGAAGAGTGAAGCCTAGATGGGAGTGTTTGTGTTGCCCACGGCTGGTGGAGTTGGGAGCTGACTTATGATAGGCAAATACAAGGCTTCCTCCCACCAAGGACAGGTGGTTGCATCTGAAGAAGTGGGCTGTAGCCCACAAAAGCCTATGCTCAAATAAATTTGTTAGTCTCTAAGGTGCCACAAGTACTCCTGTTCTTTTTGCGGATACAGACTAACACGGCTGCTACTCTGAAAGGTGGTAGCTAAGTGTCTCACAACCCTGGGTACCCCCAGGAAACATCAAAATGTGGTTGGACCTCAGTCTCCCCCTCCCAATCAGCAGGAAGGATGATTCAGTTGAGGGGTAGGGGAGTGTTTCCAGAACTACCATGTGTTTTTGAAGAAGTAGTTAGGAGAATAGTGGATCGAGGTTTCCTGTAAAACAGAAGCAGGGGGAAAGCTGCAAGGTGGTCATTGATAAAGAGAGAGCTATCCTGATCCTCTGGGCACCCAATTTACCTTCACAAGATTCTCACTCAGCACAAAGCTTCTTGCAAATCACACCATGCAACAGTGAAGCATGAGCAATGACTATCAAACAGTATTTCCCTGTCGCTGGTGAGACAGGACTCTAACTGTAGGTTTGGCAGTTTTGGCTGAACTCTCCCTGCATACATTTATTGTGGTGAAAACTGCAAAACTAACAAATCTGGAAACCAAAATTCATTTTATATGAATAGACCAGTGAGTTACTTGCAGTGACACCACCATAAATGAGCCTTGGCTTTGTCTTAGAAGGGCCACCTGTGGGGTGACTGTAGAGCTCAGTTTCTGTGACTGATGGAGGAGATATGTTGAAGATTGGGGATGTAAATGGAGGAGGCAAGTTGAAGAGCAGGGCTGGGGAGGAGCATGGGACAATATGTTGTGACATAGGAGTGGTGGCTGGGAGTGAGGCTCTAGGGGAGCAAAGATTGGATGGTAGGCAGAGGGAAATATGTGAGGGAAATGGAATTGTAAGAACTATGGAACGAAGTGTCAGAGGAGCATGGTGGAAACATTGGCCTGGAGCTGGGAGATGATCTTGAGCAGGAGAGGAAAAGGGAAAAGCTCTCCACTCTGGGAAGTTTCTCATTCATGGTTTGTCAGAGGATCTCTGTTCTGACAAGAGTTCTTCAGAATGTGACTTAGACCCAAAGACCATTTGTTGTTCATCAGAGCAGAGACTCCCCTTTCACAAACCACAGGGGTTCAGCAGAAAAGAGAACTGGTCCATCCCACTAGTGCCTTCCAGGCCCTACTCAGCTCAACTACCATTTGTGGCCAAGACTCTCCACATGTGATTCTGACACCCCCCGCCTACTCATGTGTCCATTCACCCACATGCCCTCTCTCCTCAGCCTCTCACCCCACTTATTTCCCTGTGCAGCTGCTCTGCTGTTTACCAGAGGAACAATGGGTGACTGGGGATGCTGGGGAGGGAAGGGGTTTGAGTGGGAAGGTGGGGCTTCTGGGCACATGTGCTGGGATCTGGGTGGGCGAGATCAGAGGTGTGTGTTGGGGATGGAAGCAATAAGAGTGACCTCCATTTCATGTGAATCATACACAGACAGCCCCATTTAAACCATGTTCCTGTTCTATGTCTAACCCCATCTGTGTGAAACACCATTTACACAAAACACATTTTATACTTAAGAAACAGATTATATTGATGTTGCTACATACATTTTTACATTTTAGAGTTTAACTATCTTGCCTATATCTGAGCTATAGTGAAGCTGAGTAAATGACAAAATAGTGGCAGGAAAACATGGGACAATTTAAAAGGAATTATCTAGATTTTTAAAGAATTTCATAGATATTTCATTGAAAATGCAAAGAACATTAAATAGACTTTTAAAGAGATATTGACCCATATTTGGAAACTTAAATTAATCATTTAAGAGTGAAGCTAAGGGATTTAATCCCTCTTTAAGTGGAAATGCAATCAAAACCTTAACTGTGCTAAATTAGCGCTCAGGCTTCCACTTTGAATGATTCCTGTACAGTGTTGCAATGGTTCAGATCACTTCTGAAGCCCTGATCCTGCACAGGGCTCTGTGTAGGGGGATCCTGGAGACTCTTTGAGCTCATTGCAGGATTGTAGCCTTAGTGCCTTCGTTGGATGTACTCACCCTCAGCACCCAGGATCCCGAGCGTTACCAGCAGCACCAGGCAGAAGATCCCAAGAGTCAGTGCAATGAGCTGCCACCGAGGAGATGGAGTGTCTGAAAGAAAGGAGACAGGGCCAAGCCAGGCAGTGAAAACAGTGTCTTGTCTCTGAGAGTGGACATTACCAGACTGATCCAGAAGAAAGTTTAATGTCCCTGTGAGAATCAGGATCCAGACACCGCAAGGGGAGAGAGAACAGGGGGTCTCAACCACAAATAATAAGCAATTCAATCAACTGGTTGGATACAATGTTACTGTGTATAAAAATATGTCAAGTAAGGTCTTTTATTGAAAGCTTGTAATGTTCTGAACTTGATGGTCATTATGAGATGTGTATGCAGCCTGTGATTATGAATTTATGTATTTGTGTAGAATATAAAACTGTGCTCCTAATCTGTGCTGCAACATTCAGCTCTGCCACACAACAGGGAGGTGGTCAGCGTGGCAGGGAGGGTCTGCCTCCACAACCAGAAGAGACTAGCTCCATGCACCTGGCTTTGTTCAACCTGGAAAAAGAAACATGATGGGCCATTAGAATTAATGGGAAAACATTAAGGCAACCTGGCTAGAATTTCCCCACCCTAAATCCACATGCCAGGAGAAAATAAAAAGAAAAAAGTCTTAAAAGGGGGGCTTGAAACCAAAGCTTTTATCTAGAAAATGAGGTCCAGCATTTAGGTGTGATACTGTTCAGGAAAGGCTGGATCCCCTCTCTGACAGGGGGCATGCTGGGAAGCTGCACAAAGGCACTAGGGTGACTTGCATTACAAAGTGGAATTTGTTTAATATAGAAGTGTAAAACCTGAAGCTGCGTCTTTTTGTTTATTTTCTGTGTAACTTGTATGGTTTTACCTCCCTTTCTATTTTTGTCTTTGAGTCTGATTTTTCTGTTAAATAAACCTTTTGTTCATTTTCCCCCAGGCAGGTCTCTGTTGTGAAAACTGGGTAAAGTGTATGTGCCAAAGTGAACTGATAACTGGAGGCAGGTTTCACTCCTTCAGGGATGATGAACAAGAAGGGAAAAGTCTAAGTGCCTGGGAGTTAAGAACTCAGGGTAGATGAATTTGGGGAAATTTGGTACCAGAACGACTGGTGAGGTCACCCTGCAAGGAGTAACTAGGCTGGTGGAAGCCAGGGGGAGACCTTCATGTTTGTAGGCTGGCTACTGGTGTCAGGACTCTGAGCCATAGCAGCATAGCATTAAGGCAGCCAAATATATAAGGAAAGATGAGACTAACCCCTTTCTGGTCTCGGTGATCCCCAAAATGTCACAGCCCACCTCCTATAATGGACAATTATAGAATAACCTGACCATACAGGAAGCTTCATCCTAACCCCAGACTGTTGGTGGTTGACTTCTGCCTTGTTACACAAGGGGATTTATAGAGAAAAAAAAAGAAAACAAGTTAATCCTGACCAGTAATAGCTGATTGGATGATTGCTCAGCCCAGCAGCCAATGAGAGTGACTGGAAAAGACTCCTATTAGCTTCCAGGTCTGTGACCTTCCCTGACTGTGCATGATTATTTCTTGCATTTGGCATTCAAGGCAGTGATCAGGTCTCAGTAACTTGCCATTGGCAGAAACACCAGAGTACAATAAATTAAAATTTCTGAATTCTGACATATAATATCAAGGAGAGTTACTGGAGAAAGAGGTATGACTCTGGATTGTAAAATAGCAATATGTATAATACCTTTGCTTTTGGTCTTCTCCACTGTTTGTCTCCTTTGCTGCTGAGCAGAAGTGTGAAATTTCAGTTCTGTGTAGGTCACTTCCTGCTCACTCATTTCTGGTGGAATATAAGATATAATGTTTAAACTAATTTAGTGGATGGAGGAGACTGATGAGAATACTAGGGCTGTTGATTAATCACAGATAACTCACATGACTAACTCAAAAAAATTAATCAGGATTTTAAAAATTAATTGTGATTAATCACAGATTAATTGCACTATTAAATAATAGAATACCAATTTAAGATTATTAAATATCTTTGCATGTTTTTCTACATTTTCAAATATATTGATTTCAATTACAACACAGAATACAAAGTGTACAGTGCTCACTTTATATTATTTTGATTACAAATATTTGCACTGTAAAAATGATAATCAAAAGAAATAGTATTTTTCAATTAATCTAATACAAGTACTGTAGTGCAGTCTCTTTATTGTGAAAGTGCAACTTACAAATGTAGATTTTTTTTGTTACATAACTGCACTCAAAAACAAAACAATGTAAAATGTAGATCCTACAAGTCCACTCAGACATACTTCTTCTTCAGCCAAAACAAACAAGCTTGTTTACATTTACAGGAGATAATGCTGCCCGCTTTTTATTTACATTGTCACCTGAAATTGAGAACAGGTGTTTGTATGGCACTTTTGTAGCCAGCACTGCAAAGGTATTTACATGCCAGATATGTTAAACATTCGTATGCCCCTTCATGCTTTGGCGACCATTCCAGAAGACACGATTCCATGCTGATGACGATCGTTAAAAAATAATGCATTAATTAAATTTGTGACTGAACTCCTTGGAGAAGAAGTGTATGTCTCTTGCTGTTTTACCTGCATTCTGCCATATATTTCATGTTATAGCAGTCTCGGATGATGACCCAGTACATTTTCTTTGTTTTAAGAACACTTTCACTGCAGATTTGACAAAAGGCAAAGAATGTACCAATGTGAAATTTCTAAAGATAGCTACAGCACTCAACTCAAGGTTTAAGAATCTGAAGTGCCTTCCAAAATCTGAGAGGTACAAGATGTAGAGCATGCGTCCAGAAGTCTTCAAAGAGTAACATTCCGATGAGAAAACTACAGGACATGAACCACCAAAAAAGAAAATCAACCTTCTGCTGGTGGCATCTGACTATGATGATGAAAATGAACATGCATCAGTCCGCACTGCTTTGGATCATTATTGAGCAGAACCCATCATCAATATGGACGCATATCCTCTGGAATGGTGGTTGAACCATGAAGGGACATATTTACGTGCCAGATGTGCTAAAGATTCATATCTTGTGACACCAACTATAACAGTGCCATGTGAACACCTGTTCTCACTTGACATTATAAACAAGAAGGGGCAGCATTATTTCCTGAAAATGTAAACAAACTTGTTTGTCTGAGTTACTGGTTGAAAAATACTTAGGACTAATTAGACTTGCAGGGTTTTTTTCTACATAATTCTACATTTGTAAGTTCAACTTTCATAAGGAGATTGCACTACAGTACTTTTATTAGGTGAATTGAAAAATACTATTTCTTGTACTTTTTACAGTGCAAATATTTGTAATAGAAAATAAATATAAAGTGAGCACTGTACACTTTATATTCTGTGGTTGTAATTGAAATCAATATATTTGAAAATGTGGAAAACATCCAAAAATATTTAAATCAATTGTATTCTATTTTGTTTAACAGTGTGATTAATCGCACAATTAATTTTTGTATCGCTTGATAGCCCTAGAGATTACAGATCAATGGACCTGAGTTATACCAGGTTCATTCTAGTGTAACTCCAGTGACATTTATGGAATTTCACCAGCATCAAAGTGGTGCAGTGAAATAGGAAGTGGACTCCATATATTCACTGGCAGAACAAACAAATATTGAGATCTGTTTCATGTTACAATAGACTGGATGACTGAAACCAAGGAGAGTATTGGAATGAAGAAAAATCACATACATCTTTTTAAATATCTGACCTCCATTTATAAGTTATGGGACAAAAACTAAGCTGATTGTCAATGTATATCAGTAACTGAAGCAAAATAACTAAACAAAGATGGCAAACTATAAATTAGAAGTTGGAAGTTTTACAAAAACAAACATTAGAACATTAAGAGATTGTAAATTAAGGCTACACTTATTTTTTTTAAATGATGCAGAGTATGTAATACAAAATTGAGCTACCATACTCTGAACAACCTTAAGTGTAGTTTTGTTCTGACGGATTAGTGTGGAAAAAGGACATTGTCTCTCTCAAGAAAGTTTCCTGTGCACAGTCTGAGTCATATCCACTGACTTTAGTAACTAAAACAATGGTTTCTATATTTTACACCTGAAGTTCAGTGGGGTTTAGTTCTGCCGTTCACAGGCTTAAGTGCTTTTCTGAATAGGAGGTACCATTTTTGAAGTACTTTTATGACATAGGAACCTATAGTCTATTGGAAAAAAAAAAATCAATGGGACTAAGTCCCATAGGCACTTTTGAAATTTTTTGCCTATGGGCCCTAATTAATTCAAACTATCATAATGCTGTGATATGGAGGAAAGCTGAAAACATATCATCCCAACCCTATTCCTGGATAACACTCTAATTAAAAAAAATGCAAGAATGAAAATAAAATAAATAAATAAATAAGCAAGCAAGCCTTGCATCACACCTCAAAGGCCAGAAAATCTCAAGGAATAGCAGAAAAACTAGGAGAGAAAATTAGAATTCAAGACATTCCACCGAAAGTGTTTTCAACTGAGTGTCAATGCGTCCATATCTAGGCTTATTAACATAAACATCTCAGGTGATCTCAGTTGTGAGTGTGTTGCAGAGACCAGTTTATTTGACTCAATTTCACTTTTTTGGGTCCTGCCCATATTTCTCATCCCCCTAAATCCTTAGGTATCATTTCTCAGACTTCTCTATTAACATTTTTCTTACGCTCTCTTCCAAAACATTTCATCAGATGTTATATAAATGAGGGTTGGCATTCATTCCCACTTAACACCTGACTGGCCACCTAGCTCTGGATTCAATATATAGTTGTTTATTGTTAGAAATTAATATAAACCAAAAAATAAGGCTAAGTTGCTACCTTGTTTCTTCAGACAGGACCAGATGCTTTGTTAATACTGAGATCTCTGCCATAAACTTGGTACCCTCCTTTTTGGCAATCTTGCAGATTTGGTGAATATGGTAAAAAGAACATTCAGTTACAAATGCAGAACCATAAGATACATGGATTGACCAACATCATACATCCCAAACACACATGTTTTGCTGCTTAGACTAAACTTTACCAGAAGGGGGAAAGAACAATACACAAGTTAGATGTCTAAAATCCTTTTAAATAAAGATAATGGGTAGGATTTTCAAAAGTGCCCAACTGACTCAGGAGTGTAAGTGCCTGCAATGGTGCACCACCCTCGAGCAAGTCCTCTTGTGGCTGTGCTCGGATCTCCAGGAATGCTGCTGTCTGATCTCCCTTAGTGCCTGCAATCATTTTCTGAGACTTGAGTACTTCAAACAGGTACTCCTTAGTGGGGTCTCTTTATTAACCTTTCGCACACTGTACAAAACCTCTTCTTTAGCCCCTTGAACTCAGCCTTTCATTTAGAACTGGGTACTCATTCAGACAAGTTCTGATATGGGTCAGCAGCAGTCCTCATTAAGCTTCTCACCAGCTGGCCCCTTTTTACTCTGTCCTTTCACCTATTGGCTTGGAGAGGTCAACAAGCAGCAGTCCTCCTCCTGCTAGAGTTTCCCTTTTATGAGGGAGGAAGGAGCATATATGTGGCCCTCCTTCCCAGGATTCATCCTGGTTGGCTGGGAGAGAGGGGAGCTTTGCCCCACACTACACTAAAAGGCTCCTGGGCCCTTAAAGGAACAGTAGCATGGATTCCCCCAAACACTAACTATTCCCCCGAGACTGCTTCCCCCCTCCCAGTATCTGCCCATGTCTCTTCCTAGGCCCAGTCCCATTGATTTTCAACATGAATTATGCTCCTAAGTCACTTAAGGCCAGATTTTTAGGCACATTTAGGCTCCTAAATCTCATTGATTTCAATCTGGTTCTTAGGTACTTTTGAAAATGTCACCCATTAACACTCACTTCCTAATTTAGACAGAAGAGGAAAATCTTACAGCAGTTACAATCCCTAACAATGAAAGATCCCACAAATACTTAGACATGATACCTGTGGAGGTGTCCTCTGGTCAGTGAGCAGGAGTCTGGGAATAGAACTTGAGGAGGTGTACCCATCCACTCCTGTATCAAATCCTCTGAGGAGTCAGAGAGAGGCAGAAATTGTTTGTCCTGCTATCAGAGGGTCAGCATGAATGAGAGAGGAAAATGATTTGCTCTGTGATGTTCCGACTGAAACTGCACAGGAAGTTCTCGCTCTGCTACTTCGACGGATGTTGCACCTACACAATGCGCTCAGACAAAAGGGTCTTTCATCTTTATGGATGACTAGGACTCAGGCATTAACTATAGAGATTGGTTTGAACATTTACATACATTAATTACTGTGTGAAGCAACTGTGACTAAGAAACAAATGCTCAGCCTGTGTCCAAGCACTTTTAAAAGCCTGGTCTTACCTTCCCTGTATTACCTCCAGGGTGAACTCTTTGCCAACCAATTTTCCAAAGGGGAGCCTCCTGTCCTACAGCCTAGACCAGAGGGATACTGGGGGATCTCTCTACTTCTTTGCACTTGGAAATTTCCTTTATTTTACTCATTTTACATCACCATCAATGCAACAAGTTGTGATGGGATCCCCGGGGCGCAGCCTGGGACTGTGGGACCGCTGTGCACCCTTACCTCTCTCCAAACTGGGCTGTCTCTCACAATGCCTTGCTAGTGACCAGCAGCAAACCACTCCAGATGCTGTTATCACTCAGCACAAACATATGTGGAGCCCCACACCCAGCTAGATTGCATGAATGATCCCAGAGCCACCCATGAATCATACAGAGAAAGGCACCAGAGCCAAATCCCCCCAGTTCCCAGTACTATACCTCAGGAATAGACTGTCTTGCACTGCTCAAGATGAGAAATGCAGATTTATTAATTGGTTTACCACTTCATCAATGGAAAGTGGAGATACACCAGCCTTTACAAAACCTGAGCAGATTTGCCATACACTTCATACAAACTCACTGATAAAGATAAACAGTTAAACAAATTTATTGATTATAAAAGGTAGATTTTAAGTGATATTAAGTGATGGGCAAAAAGTCAGAGTTAGTTACCAAAAGAAATAAAATATAAGCACGCAGTCTAAACTCTCAACCCTGTTAGGCTGGGCAGCAACTAGACTTAAGCAGTTTTTTCTCACCCCACTGGATATTGCAGTTCTAAATATACAGATTTGTCCCTTAAATCTGTGCCAGACTCCTCTGTTGGAGTCTTCAGTCTTCTTCTCAGTGTCTTAGTTGCTTGCAGCATAGGTAGGGGCAGGAGAAAGGCCAAGCATATGGCCACTGTATCTATTTTATACCCTCCATCAATGTGCTTGGAAAACACAAGTCCAGGCATGTCTGGGGGCATTGCTGAGTCTCCAGGCAAGGTTGAGAAATTCCCCTGGTGGGGCCTCATGCAGGTGAGTCATTGCATCGTAGCTCCCTTGCTGGACAATGTTTGGCGATGGGTTGATTGACACCCCACCCGGGTGTTGGCTAATTTCCTTACTGTTGTGTCTGGGGAGCTAATGTCTGGCTGATTCCCACAATGTACAGCATGTTTGAGTGACCACCATACAACACAATTCTCATAACGTCATATGCATTCATGACATACACATATAGTTAGAGAAATGACTTTCAACAGATCATAACCTTTCCCCTGTTACCCTACAAGGCATGCTTTATATGTAAGATCACGATTATATAAAAATGAGGAATTTGGAGGTTACAAGATGCTCCCTCAAGGTATAGTATGTCACACCAGTAGCATCACCAGAAAGAGGAGAGGTTATGAAACCATTGGACACAGGTAGTATTGGCATGAGCAACGTGTGCATGCATGAAACTGGAAATGCATCATCACCAATATCATGAGAGAAATTGACTCTATCAGTTTCTGCTTCTACAGCCCTAGAAGTGTGTTTATTTATTTTTGACTAGACACTGCAATACTAGAGACAAGTGGAAACAGTCCCAAGAAAAAGACAAGCTAAATTTGGGTCAATAAGAAGATTCTGGGAAATGCTGACTGTGTGTAACATTGAAATTAAATCAGGAACCCAGATATATCCCCAAACAACTCTAAAAATGGGAGAGGGTTAGAATGAGAGATTATTTGGTGGTTGCTGGAGAGACATGTGAATGTCCTTTTGGGAAAGGATGGTTCTTTGAGGGGAAAAATTATAATCTCATTTATATCTATCAATCTGGTAACTAATTCTGGTCATATATGTTCAGTCAAAAATGTAGCTTTATCAAAAGTGAAGTGATCCATGGGAAAATGTTTATTTCAATATTTTTTTCAGTTTTCTGAAACATTTTGCATTTGTCATTTTGAATTACATATCATTTTAAGATGAAATGTTAGCTCTAAACATAACATTTTATATCTAATTGACATTCTATTTCCAAAATTCATTTTGAGATGACAAAATATATCATTTTGATTGAAAATCTCAACATTTTTCATTTCAGCATTTCCAAAACAAAGTATCTCAGAATTTTTCATTTTGTAAAAACTTGATCTTTTGAAATGTTGTCCCAATTCAGGAAAAAACAAACATCAACATGACAGAATGTCCCATAGGAAGGAAATTCCATTTTCCAGTCAGCTCTATTGGTAACACAAGGAGAGGAGGGTGCAAATTTATTTTGGGAGCAAGATGCACACATCTCATGGAAAGCTCAGGGTCTTTGCATTTATCCACTGAGAAGCTTTCTTGGTTTCTTACTCTGCAATATTGTATTGCCTTTAAAGATAAATCCCTATTTTCCTCTCAAAATGTCCTTGCTAATACTTTCAGAACGTTGGCAGTGACTGAACTGGAATATGAGTGGACCTTTCAAACAAGAGTGATTAGAGATAGTTATGTGCACTACTTTCTTCCCTATGCAGTTATAACAACCCCACATAAGGTTCTGGGTTTCTATATAGCTAATCTAATCTGATTAATCTAGTAGCCTCAGTCTTATTGAGTAGGAATGCTGAAAAATGTGTGTACAATTCCATGAAAAATATATACAAAAAGTAATAGCATCTCAATTACAACAAACTCACATTATCTCACTGTGCTTGGTTCTACCTGGCCCCCTTTAGAGGTCCTGATGTTCTACTGAACCCTGTCCCAGGAAAGGAGCTGTGGAGGTGGGTTTTCCAGGCCTATCTAGAGAGGTTGCATAGAAGTAGCCAATCCGAGAAAAGAAGCTGCAGGAGCTGATCAGGTCAGTTCCTGGCTGGGACCAGAGGAGCAAGGGTGGGTGTACTTTGCTGGTCACAGGAGCTTGAGAGACAGCCAGAAGGGGGATTCTGGTGGTACTTGCATGCAGTGAGGAGGATCTGAGAATTTCAGCCCTGAGGTCAGGCTCCCCCCACCACTGCTGGAGTGGCCTAAGCCCCAGAAAGGGGACACAGCTAGTTTCAAAGCCCAAGAAAGGGGCTAGATAAAAGGTCCCAGAGTGGGGCTGAAGACCCTTGTGAGAGCAGACCGATAGGTCTAGCTGGACTCTTTACTAAAAGAGTGAGAAAGGGGCTAGACTTAAAGGGCCCAGCGACAGAGCTGAAGACACTAATAAGGGCACACCTATAGTCCTTGCTGGACCTTTTTTACCCTGGAAGGGGTTCGTTCATTCATTCATACTGACTGTGTGACTTGGCCAGAGGGACGAGCCACTGGAGACCTGTCTAATGAGGTCAACAACCTAGAGGGGGCACCAGGAGAAAAAAGGATTTCAGCACCACACCCAGCTGACAGGAGACACTCCCAAGAGGTGAGTGTCCCTTGTCACAAATATGTATATACAAGACTGTGTAGTCCATTGTCCTGTGGCTTAAATATGCTCTGGAATACATACCTTGCTTACCCCTTACTGATGAATTGTGCTCCAGAATGAAAGCTATCATTTAAAAGAAATATTCTAACCCTGTGGGTTGTTCAGATTACCTTGAAACTGTGAACTGAATGTACCCAGTTCAATGTTATATTTGTGAGCTAGCAGACCACCTTCAATAGCTCTGAGAGGTGTTAAGTTAAGTGATACATTCATCTCAATGGGCTGTTGACTCTAAATCTTGACAATTTAGGGTGGTTGAAATTTTTCCGAAGAAACTTTTTTCTGACAGAAAATTCGGTAGTCGATGAAATAATGTTGTTGAAAATTCCTGTTTTCCTTGAACATTTTTGGTATTTTATCAGAAAATCTAACACCCAAACCCCAAATATTTTCAGCTGAAATCTAAGAATTTTTGCATCTTTGTCTGTTTTGCTTCTGAGACACAGATGCTTAAAATACTGATTCATGTATTTGACTGTCCTAAACATCAGACTTTGAAAATAATACTTTAGGCCTCATTATCATCTCCTTAACCCATGAAAATGGAAGATCATTTGCTCAGAGTGCTTTGTGCAGGGGCAGTACATTTTTAACATGAGAACTTCCTGTGTGATTTCAGCCAGAATATCACAGCGTGAATCATTGTTTCTCAACTCGCACTGATTCTCTAACAGGTGAGTCAGACTATTTATTTCTCTCTCCATCTCCCTCCCGCTAAGGATTTTTATGCAGAAGAAAGCTCATAAGAATGGCCACACTGGATCAGAACAATGGTCCAAGTAGGCCAGCATCCTGTTTTCTGACAGTGGCTAGTGCCAGATGCTTTAGAGGGAATAAACATATTAGGCAATTATTGAGTAATCAGTACACCTCGTATTCTATTCCACACTCCAAATCATGGACCTCAAGACACTTGGACAAATAACATCACTTGTTGGGACTTTGATAATTACTATACATTGTTTACCTGCTTTGTCTAAATCAGGAAAGTATTCACTAAATTATCAGTTTATATACAACTGTAGCTCTTGTGTTTTTTGTTTATATGGTATAGTGTATATATTTGCTATCCATTATTTAGTGTTGATACTGTAGAATATGGTTCTGCATTTTTAGCTGTGTGTGCTTTTAATCATTATATACTAAGTATAACAAGATCATCACAAGTTTGTAGATGACACTAAGCTGGAGGGAGAGGTAGATACACTAGAGGATAGGGATAAGGTCCAGAGTGACCTAGACAAATTGGAGGATTGGGCCAAAAGAAATCTGATGAGGTTCTACAAGGAGAAGTGCAGAGTCCTGCACTTAGGGTGGAAGAATCCCATGCACTGCTATAGACTAGGGACTGA